AGCTATATATATTTCCCCACTTGAAAAAACAAAAACACTACTACTTATTTGGCATTAGTGTGATAGGTGAGAGAGAATGTTGTTGGCCATGGTTACCACCTTAAATTGACATGGGAAAAGATAAATCAATATGAAGTGGAGGAAAAAACAATAACTTCATTTAATCATACATTTTTACCATTAACCTGTTTTCTTTTGGCTTATCTTTCTGAGCTAAGGTAAGGAGGCTTGGTTTGTCTTTGTTGTTTTTGTTTTTTTGTGTCAGTGATCTCCAAATAGATGATCTTCCAGATGAAATAGTTGCCTGTTAGTACATCTGGACTGTAATTGAAGGCTGCAAAAGATGATTGCGTATCCCTTGAAATAAGGGGAATTGTGAAATAGTTTTCTCAACCTGCTGCATGGATTTTGACTCTTCAGGTTGTGATCTCCACAAGTTATTCAAACTAGAATTTCTCAACCAGTGTATTGTGTCAGGGTGTGTTACAGATGTGTTGAGATACTGGTCCCCTCACACCTCTGGCCATTCATGCAGAATGTAGCTTGGATACAGCATCCAAACCAGTTACCTCAGATCCAGAGCAGTCTTGATCATTTACCCCATTGTGCCATACAAATATTATTTTCTTTCTGTCTTGACTTTTAAAAAGACTGGGCCAGGCGGGTGGATCACAAGGTTAGGAATTCGAGACCATCCTGGCCAACATAGTGAAACCCTGTCTCTACTAAAATACAAAAAAAAAAATTAGCCGGGCATGGTGGTGCTTGCCTGTAGTCCAGCTACTCGGCAGGCTGAGGCAGGGGAATCACTTGAACCCGGGAAGTGGAGGTTGCAGTGAGCTGAGGTAGTGCCACTGCACTCCAGGCCTGGTGACAGAGCGAGACTCCGTCTCAAAAAAAAAAAAAAAACTGGGAACACTAATTTAGAAAGCTCAGTAATTAGATAGCTTAACAGTTTTAAGATTCAAGGCGGTAAGCAATCTTAAAATAATCTTGGCTTTAAGTTTTTAAAGCCATTTTAAGGTACCTCTCTGACCCCCAAGTAATTCTCTTTGGACATGTGATTCAAAGGGTATGCTTTAAAATACAAGATTGTAAATGATTTAAGGTTGGACAGTAGTGAAGAAATTCAGTTCTTATTTTCTAAGCAATAATGTGAGGCAGAAGTAAAGTTCCCTTTTGTAAAACTGTTATCTCTACCTGACTAACTCTGAATGCCACTGTATTTTTTCTGAGGCTGACATTTTGTTAATCATTCATCAAGCTTGGGTCTCATACTCTGAAGCCTAGGATACATTGTCTTCTTGTCTTCCTTCAGGAAAGAATGGCGTATACTTAGTTTGAGCAGTTTAATTTTTTAATATTTATGTAAATCACCAAGTTAGCCTTCTTAGATGTGTTTCTGTTTGTCTAACTCAGGAATTACTAATTTTGCTGAAGTTTACAGATTTCCTGAGCCTGTAATAGTTTTTTTCTTAAAAAAAAAAGTACGTGTACATACTACTCTATATACATTTACCAGATAGTTGTTCATGGCCACTGATGTCATTGTTGAACTGCATTTTCAGTTCCATAATTTTTGTAGTCTTAAGTAAGAGTTTCCCCTGTCTTATTATTTGTTTATAAATTTATGTATTTAGTATAGACCAGGGATTGATAGCTCAAATGCCTTCAGGAGTCGAGCCAATAAGGTAAAGGAAGAGTTGTCCAGGTTTACGTGTGGTATCTCCATTGGGTGTCTTTTAAAAGAGCCAGTTGTTGAACAGTCACAGCTTAGCATACCCAGGTGGTTTTTGTCAGTGCAGGAAGGAAGAACCGTTGTTACCAGACAGAGAGACCTACCTGCCCTCCCTCCTCCTTTATTTCTTTTAAGAAATAGAAAGTTAAATTTTTTTTTAGTGTTGGTAACTATCACTTTGAAAAATATTAATTATGAACAATGTTAATACATAATTCAACTTAATACTTTTTTTTTTTTTTTGAGACGGAATTTCGCTCTTGTCGTCCAGACTGGAGTGCGATGGCGCAGTCTCAGCTCACTGTAACCTCCACCTCCCAGGTTCAAGTGATTCTCCTGTCTCAGGCTCCCAAGTAGCTGGGATTACAGGTGCCCACCACCACCACGCCTGGCTAATTTTGTATTTTTAGTAGAGATGGGGTTTCACCATGTTGGCCAAGGCTGTCACGAACTCCTGACCTCAGGTGATCCGCCTGCCTCGGCCTCCCAAACTGGTGGGATTACAGGTGTGAGCCACTACGCCTGGCCCCGATTCACTTTGTAAAAACAGTGTGAAGGCTGGGCACTGTGGCTTATGCTGTAGTCCCAACACTTTAGAAGGCTGAGATGGGATAATCGCTTGAATCCAGGAGTTTAAGACCAGCCTGGGCAACATATCAAAACCCCGTCTCTACTAAAAATACAGAAAATTAGCTGGGCGTGGTGGCACACACCCATAGTCCCAGCTACTTGGGAGGCTAAGGTAGGATGCTCACTTAAGCTCAGGAGTGTGAGGCTGCAGTGAAATGAGCTATGATCATGCCACTTGCACTCCAGCCTGGGTGACAGAGCAAGGTCCTGACTCTAAAAAAAGAAAAAGAAAAAAAAAGTGAAAAACTTGTACACAAATGCACCTAGCAACATTGTTCATAGTAGCCAAAAAGTGGAGACAGTCCAAATATCCGTCAATCAATGAATGGATAACCAAAATGTGGTATATTTATACAGTGAATTCAGCCACAAAGGGAAATTAACTACTGATACTTGCAACAATGTGGATAACCTTGTAGACATTTTGCTAAGTGAAAGAGGCCACATATTGCATGATTCCATTTATGTGAAATGTCCATAATAGGCAAATACATGGAGACAGAAAGCAGATTTTTGGTTGCCAGAGGACTGTAGGAAGAGGCTGTCAGGAGTTACTCCTGTGAGGTACTGAGTTTCTTTTTGGGGCGATGACGTGTTCTGGAATCAGTTAGTAGTGATGGTTCCACAACATTGTGAATATACTAAAACACACCATTTTAGGGTACCAGTTGTACCCTAAATGGATTTTATCTCAATTTTTAAAAAGTAATATGTGAGCCAGATAGGAGACACACACACAGAGTAGTCCTGTTCCCAGCCATCTGTGGGAAATATATTCCAAGATCCCCAGTGGATTCCTGAAACCACAGATAATACCAAACCTGATTGTCATCAAGTTGGAACACAGTTTTCTGTTCATGTCTTCTACCCACAAATTTAATGCCTTTTCCTTCTTAACTAAGCATTTATCACATACTGCGGTTATAACTTTTGCAGTTTGAGGTATGACAGCAAAACAACTGTGAATTTGTTTTTCCCTCTTCACATTATCACTGATAGAAGATTTGTTCTTACTATAGATCTTAGCAATTTCCGCATACAATTTTTTTTCCATATTAAGTCAAGAACTTTCACCTTTTTACTTAAAGGAAGCACTTTACAGCTTCACATTGGCATTTCCAGATTCTCAGCATTGCTACTCTTGCACTTTGGGGAATTTCTTAAGTAAAATAAGGGTAACTTGAAGATAAGCACTGCAATACTGCAACATTCAAGTAACCAAGAAGGCTACCAAGTGACTTAATGAGCAGGTGGCATATACAGCTGGACAAAGGGATGATTCACATCCAGGGCGGGATGGTACTAGATGGTGCAAGATTTCATCACATTACTCAGAACCATGTACAATTTAAAACATGGCTGGGTGCAATGGCTCATGCCTGTAATCCCAGCACTTTGGGAGGGTAAGGTGGGAGGATTGCTTGAGCCCAGGAGTTCAAGACCAGCCCGGACAACATAGTGAGAAACCTTCTTTACAAAAAAAAAAAAAAAAGCCGGGAGTGGTGGTATATGCCCATGGTCCCAACTACAAGGGAGGCAGAGATGGGAGGTAGAGGCTGCTACAGTGAGCCACGGTTGCACCACTGCACTCCAGCCTGGGTGACTGACTGAAGCCCCATCTCTAAAAACAAACAAAAATAAAACTTACAAATTGTTTATTTCTGGAATTTTCCATTTAATATTTTCAGACTGCAGTTGACTGCGGGTAACTGAAACCATGGGTATGGGGGTTAGCTGTGTTTGTGGTCCCAGTTTACAGTCCCTTGCTGTAGAACAGAAGAATAGGCTGTGAATCTAGACAAATGTTTTGCAATCACTATCTCTGACATTGGGAAGGTTATGCAGTTTTACCTTCTATAAAATGAGAAAGACATTACTTAGGTCATGGACTTGCTGGTTTAACAGTGATAAATCTGGCTGGGCATAGTGTCTCATGCCTGTAATCCCGGCATCTTGGGAGGCCAAGGTAGGAGGATTGCTTGAGCTTAGGACTTCCAGACCAGCCTGGGTAGCATAACAAAACCTCATCTCAGCAAAAAAGAAAAAAGAAAAAGAGAAAGAAAAAAAGAAAAAAATTTAATTAGCAGGGGACAGTAGTGTATGCCTATGGTCCCAGCTACTAAAGAAGCTGAGGGAGGAGGATTGCTTGAGCCTGGGAGGTCAAGGCTGCAGTGAGCTATGATCGTACCACTGCATTCCAGCCTGGGTAACAGAGCAAGACCCTGTCACACACACAAAAAAGATATATCCCAAGAATCGGTGACTGACATAGGCATTCACATAATATCTTCAGAATTGAAAGGCAACCAGTTTTACTGCCCTTGCTTCCAGCCTATTCTATTTTTGTCAGTTTTAGGACAACCTACCTTATTAACTGTTGGTTATTGATCACCTACAGAGATGATGGTTGTCTCCTATGTAACCTACCTTCATGGCAGTGAAGAAGGGAGTGGGAGAAGGGTGATAATCCTTATATTCTGCAGTTTTCTCACTTTAATCAGGTAGGTTAAATCACATATCCAACATCAGATGTAGGTGTTAGTGGTTCTAGTGTACTTATCCTTCTGCAACCTCATGATGTCTTTTAAATCCAAGATCCATTCAGTAACGGAGTGCTGAACTGTTTTTGTAGCTCTGTCAAGGCTTGTCAAGCAGTGTGCTCATCACATGGTAAATCATGCAGCCTGGAACCTCATAAAAGCTCCAAGAAACATCATTCACCCATACTGACTAGTTTCACATCTCTTTGGTAAGTGATAGTAGGAAACCTTTTTTCTCTGGTTTAAAAAGGATGGATGCAATAACATTTATAGGTAAGACTGAGGAGCATTTTAAAAATCAACCACAGGCAGGGCACAGTGGCTCGTGCCTGTAACCCTAGTACTTTGGGAGGCTGAAGCGGTTGGATCACCTGAGTTCAGGAGTTTGAGACCAGCCTGGGCAATGGGGTGAACCACGGGGCATACACCAAGAGAAATAAAGTCCAAAGTACTTGAATTCTTAATCTGAGGAGAGAGGTGTATGTAAACAAAATACATTCAGTGTGACAATGTCAGAGAGTATATGGGGTTGCTGTGGCCCTGTAGAAGAGGTACTTGGCTCATTTTGGAGAGAGATGGGAATGCTTCATAGCGGATGTAAAGTTTGCTGATTCTTGAAGGGCGAGTAGGATTTCTCTTAGCAAGCAGTATTGGAAGGCATAATCAATGTATAAAAGCAGAGAGACCTGGAGAGGAGTGGGAAGCAAGTTCAGTTTAAACAAATGTTTTGAAAAAATGTTAAGCTGTGCAGTACAAAGACATTAGGATAGAACAGGTTGAAACAATACTGATTGAATTTATTGGTTATGGGACCATTTATGGTTTTCATTTTTTGTGTCAGTTTTTGTTTTTTCTTCCTGAGAATCAGACTGGCATCTTGTATCAGTTTTGATAAATTATTTTTCTTCTGGGAATTTCAAGTTTATGGGCAAAAGTTGTTCATGATATTGTCTTTTTACCATCTGTAGGATCTGTAGTGATGTATCATTTCCATTCATTATACTGGACGTTTACCCTAATTCATCCCTCACTGCCTCATTTCCATTCTTGATATTGGACATTTACCCTAATTCTCCCTCCCTCCCTCCTTCCCTCTCTCTCTTTCTCTCTGTCTTTCTTTCTTTTTTTGAGATAGAGTCTCACTGTGTCACCAGGCTGGAGTGCAGTGGTGCCATCTCAGCTCACTGCAAGCTCCGCCTCCCAGGTTCACACCATTCTCCTGCCTCAGCCTCCTGAGTAGCTGGGACTACAGGCGCCCACCACCATGCCCAGCTAATTTTTGTATTTTTAGTAGAGACAGGGTTTCACCCTGTTAGCCAGGATGGTCTCGATCTCCTGACCTTGTGATCCACCTGCCTCGGCCTCCCAAAGTGCTGGGATTACAGGTGTGAGCCACTGCGCCCAGCTGATTTTTTTAATTTTTATTGTTGTAGAGGCAAGGTCTTGCCATGTTGCCCAGGATGGTCTTGAACTCCTAGGTTCAAGTGATCCACTCATCTCAGCCTCCCAAAGTGCTGGGATTACAGGCATGAGCAACTGCGCCTGGCCTAAGTTTATACATTTCTAAGTCCTGCTTTAATTGTATCCCACATGTTTTGAAATACTGGATTTTTATGAACAAACTATGTGTAGCCTATGTTTTATTTTATTTAAAATTTATTGATTAATTGATTTTGAGGCAGGGTCTCTGTCAGCCAGGTTGGGGTGCAGCATTGTGATCATAACTCACTGAAGCCTTGAACTCCTGGGTTCACATGATCTCCTACTTCAGCCTTCTGAGTAGCTAGGATCACTGGTGCGTGTGCCATACTTAGCTAGCTTTTAAATTTTTCTGTAGAGATGGTAGACTTGCTGTGTTGCCCGGGCTGGTCACGAACTCAGCCTCAAACCTTATCTTTCCTCTTCAGTCTCCCAAAGTGCAGGGATCCCTGAGCTCTGCCCAGCTCTTAATTTCTAATTGATATATAATCGTACATATTTATGGGATATATTGTGATGTATTGTGATGTTTCAATACATGTATACATCGTGTGTATATATCCCATGTTTTAAATGTATTATTTATTTATTTATTTATTTTGTGATGGAGTCTCTGTCAGCCATGCTGGAGTGCTCACTGCAACCTCCACCTCCTGGGTTCAAGCAGTTCTCCAGCCTCAGCCTCCCAAGTAGCTGGGATTATAGGCACCTGCCACCACACCCAGCTAAGTTTTGTGTTTTGTTGTTGTTGTTGTTGTTGTTGTTGTTGTTGTTTTTAAGTAGAGATGAGGTTTCGCTATGTTGGCCAGGCTGATCTCAAACTGCTGACCTCAAGTGATGCACCCACCTTGGCCTCCCAAAGTGCTGGGATTACAGATGTGAGCCACCACACCTGACCTAGATGTATCTCTTTTACTTATTTGTTTATTAATTTTTTTTTTTTTTTTACAAGAAGGAGTCTCACTATGCCTCCCAGGCTGTAGTGCAATGGTGCTATCTCGCTACAACCTTCACCTCCCTGGTTCAAGCGATTCCCCTGCCTCAGCCTCTAAGAGTAGCTGGGACTACAGGCATGCATCACCACACCCAGCTCATTTTTGTGTTTTTAGTAGAGATGGGTGTCACTGTTTTGGCCAGGGTGGTCTTGAGCTCCTGACCTCAGGTGATCTGCCCACCTCGGCCTCCCAAAGTGCTGGGATTACAGGCGTGAGCAGCCGTGCCCAGCCTAGGTGTATCTCTTTTAGACAGCATGTGATAGAATTTTTTTCCTTTTTTTAAATTTTATTTTTCCAATTAATATACAGTAAAATTGACTCCTTTTTGTGTATACTGTTTTATGAATTTTAATATATACATAGATTCAAGTAACTACCATCACAACTGGGACATAGAACAGTTATATCACCTTCTGCATGTTACCCTTGGTAACATACCCAGCCTCCCACCCCTAATCTCTAGCAACCACTGTTTCTGTTCTGAGTTAGTACAGTTTTTTGGTTTTGTTTTTGTTTTTTTTTTTTTTTGAGACAGAGTCTCGCTCTCTCACCCAGGCTGGAGTGCATTGGCGCATCGGCTCACTGCAAGCTCCACCTCCCAGGTTCATGCCATTCTCCTGCCTCAGCCTCCCGAGTAGCTGGGACTACAGGCGCCCGCCACCATGCCCGGCTAATCTTTTGTATTTTTAGTAGAGACTAGATTTCACTATGTTAACTAGGATGGTCTTGCTCTCCTGACCTAGTGATCCGTCCGCTTCAACCTCCCTAAGTGCTGGGATTACAGGTGTGAGCCACCGTGCCCAGCCTCACTACAGTTTTATCTTTTCATAAATGTTCATATAAATGAAATCAAACATTATGTAATATTTTGAGACTGGCTTATTTCATTCAGCATACTGCCTCTGAGATTCATCAAATTTATTGTGTGTGTAAATGGTTAGTTCCTTTTTATTAGTAGTATTCCGTTTATGGATAGATTATAGTTATTTTTATCCATTCACTCCTTGAAGGACATTTTGGTTTTCATTCTTTGTTGATTATGAATAGAGCTGCTGTGAACATAACATTATAGGCTTTTGTGGACATAAGTTTTCATTTTTCTAGGGTAAATAACTTTGAGTTGGATTGCTGGGTCATATGAAAAATGTACATTTAACTTCTTTGTAAAGAAGTTGCCAAACTGTTTTCTAGAATGGCTGTACAGTACTATTTTGCATTCACACTAGAAATGTATGAGTTTCAGTTTTTCCTCATCTTCTCTAGCATCTCATCCTCTTTAGCATTTCAAGTTAAATATTGGCAGTATTTAACTTGTAACATTGAAAATTTTAGATTTACAGGAGTTACAGATAGAATCTCCATATATGCTTCCCTCAGTATCTCCTAATGTTCACATCTTGCCATAGCGGTGATATGTCATCAACACTAAGAAATTGGGCCAGGCGTGGTGGCTCACACCTGTTACCCTGGTAACTGGACGCCGTGGTGGGGAGGATTGCTTGAGGCCAGGAGTTTGAGAACAACGTGGGCAACATGGCAAGACCCCATCTCTACAAAAAATTAAAGTTAGGTGGGCATGGTGACATGTGCCTGTAGTCCTAGCTACTTAGGAGGCTGAGGCAGGAGGATCGCTTGAGCCCATGAGTTCGAGGCTGCTATGAACTGGGAGAGCTAGGATCACACCACTGGACTCCTGCCTGGGTAACAAAGTGAGACCCCATCTCTAAAAAAAAAAAAATGAATAATATAAATAATAAAATAATTAAGAAATTAACATCGGTATAATAGTATTAACCCAACTACAAGCCTTATTTGGATTTTACCAGTTATATCCTTTTTCTGTTCAAGGAGCCAGTCCAGGATACCACATTAATTTAGTCATCATGTCTCCTTAGTATCCTCCAGTCTGTGAAGCTTCTTAGTCTGTCTTTAATTTTCATTACTTGGAAACTTTTGAAGAAGACTGGTGATGTATTTTATAGAATGTCCTTCAATACAGGTTTGATATTTTCTCAAGATTAAATTGTGGTTATGGATTTTTGAGAAGACTACCACAGAGGTGAAGTGCCCTTCTCATCACATTGTATCAGGGGCATATGATGTCAAAGTGACTTAGCACTAGTGATACTTCAGTAAAGTCTGCCAGGTTTTTCTACTGTAGAGTTGCTATTTCTCCGTTTCCAAGCTCATTGGACTTAGGAATGTCCTTGTGATTAATAAGCATGGAAAGGGAGAAATTTAGGCTCCCTTTCCATGCTTATTTCCTTTTCTAAAAGGAGGAAGATTGAGCTCCACCTCCTCAAGAATCTAGTGCCTGATGATAACAGATCATCAGGCATTAGAGTCTCATAAGGAGCACGAAACCTAGATCCCTCACATGCGCAGTTCACAGTAGGGTTCTCCTATGAGAATCTAATGTTGCTGATCGAACAGGAGGCAGAGCTCAGGCAGTAATGCGAGTGACTCCCGCTGCTCACCTCCTGCTGTGTAGCCTGGTTCCTAACAGGCCACAAACTGGTACAGGCCCATGGCCCGGAGACTGGGGACCCCTGATATAAATGGAAGTATACAATATGTAGGCTTTTGTTTCTGGCTTCTTCACTTTAAGATTCACCATATTGTTCAGGTGTAGCAGCTCACACCTGTAATCCTGCCACTTTGGGAGGCTGAAGCCAAAGGATTGCTTGAGGCCAGGCGTTTGAGACCAGCCTGGGCAACAAAGCGAGACCCTGTCT